TGGCCATGGGCAGCACGGGGCTGGAGCTGGGGCCAGGGCCCACTGGCAGCACAGGGCTGAGCCCTGCAACAGCATGGGGCTGGGGCTGCAACCGGGCCGTCTCCAGCGCCAGGATGGGGCCTGCGGCAGCAGTGGGCTGAGGCCGGGGCCGCACAGGGCTAGGGTGGGCGGCAGTGGTGGTGCCAGCTGGGGCTGGGCTGGCACAGTGCCGGGGCCTACTGGCAGCACGTGGCCAGGGCCTTCGGCAGTGCTGGGTCCCGTGTGGGCTCCGGCCCCATCCCGCTGGCAGCGGTGGCTCAGGCACTGTGCTGGGGCCGGGCCCACTGGTAGCAGGCACCACTACCGTGGCTAGGGCCGGGGCCTGGCCCAGCCCGGCCCCAGCTGGCTGCCGGGGGTGGTCAGTAGCACCAGGATGTGGCTGGGGGCTTGGGGGGGCGTGGGCCCTGGCCCCGGCCCGGCAGCGGCACTAGGCTGGGGCTGCAGCAGTGGTGCTGGCCGGGGCTGGGCTCACTGGCAGCACATGGCTGGGGCTGTCGGCAGCACTGGGATGGGGCTGGGGCTGTGGACCTGCTCAGGGCCGGAGCCTGCTGGCAGCACGGGGTTGGGGTTGGGGCTGGGGCTGGTGGTGGTGCTGGACTGGGTCTGGGGACTGAGCAGGGTTGGGGCTGGGGCTCTTACCCAGCTGGGGTTGGTGGCAGCACAAAGCTGTTCCCCCGGCAGCCACGTGCTGCTCTGTCCGGGCATGGCTCTTCCTGTCCCTTGGGGTGGGAAGGAGGCTGCGTGTCAATCAAAAGCATGCCGTGTGCCACCTTTGGCACATGTGCCATGGGTTGCTGACCTCTGCCTTAGTGTTTGGCTTTTCAGCTTGATCTGAGTTGCTTATCATCTGAAATACATGGTCTGTAAGCTCCAGTTCAGCCAAGAAAGCAGCATAAACTATACTTTAACTGGTTTATCTTCATTATCTGAGGTCATTTTCAGCCACAATATCTTTCTTTCAAGCTGCTAGGGTATGCTCCCCCTAGCCTTCCCCCATCAAAGGGTGGCTCACAAGGCCTATACTCACCTTTCCCTAGGGTGGCAACATGTGGCAGAGTGGTCTCTACAAAATGCCACAAGTAGTTCCACCACATTGATCAGTCCCAGGATAGAGTTTTCAGGTCTTACCCAGGACCGATCTTTAGGTTCTCCTGTCTTAGTAATCTGTACCCCTCATGGCACAGTTTCTTACTTCTCAGGTTCCTGGCTCCTTCTTTAGGGTACTTGAGATCTTGGGCTTCTAGCTCTGGCAGTCTTAACAGTGGTCTCTTTCAACTTTTTGACCTATTTAGGGCTTTGCCTCTGGATTGCCAGACCACTTGGTCTTTCAGGGCTCCTCCAGACCCCTTTGGGCTATGGGCTTCTGGACCCCTTAGGTCTCCAGCTATGTTCTGCTGGACGTTGATCCCTCTCTGGGTCCTAGCCCTGCTCCTGGGCCAGTGAGACCTTGGCATCTGGCCCTGCTAACACTTGCCTTTCCTGGGCTGCAGACCTGTGGTTCTCTAGCCTCACTCGGGATGTCAGACCTCTCATCAGATCTCCCTCTCTCCGCTTCACTTGGAGCCTCTGGACCCATCTGGTCCCACTCTCTCCTGGTACCTCCTAGGCTGCAGGTCACTGACTCTGCTTCATACACTTCTCAGCCTGTGAGTTCCTGGCTTTCCATACTCTCAAACTTTGGCTGGGCTCTCCTCTTCAGCCTACTCTCAGTCCCTCTCTGGACTCAGTGGGTCTGTTCTCTGAAGTCCTGCCATAGATCTTTCACTCTTTCTGTCCAGCAAATCTTTGAAGTCCCTACACTTTCTTCTTGGTCTTAACATTTACTTGATAGATCTCACTTAACTTTCAGCCTTTCTTTATTTTGACGGACCTTTTAACTCTAGCACTGCTTTGACCATATCCTTCCTGGGCTGCAGGCTTCCAATCAGTGGCCCTTTCTGGCCTTTCTTTCTGCAGACCAATCCAGCAAAGCTCTGACTCCCTCCGACAGCAAAGCTGCTCTCCTTGCAGT